TCTGCTGCTGCCCCCATCGCTGCGCCCGCTACAGCCTCCTCATCCTCCTCCACCTCACATTCATGCCACCTCTTAGGCACCCTAGCCGTGGCGCCTTCGCTGCGTGCACTTCGGCCGCCACCGCCGCTGCCACCGCCGCCTTTGCTGCGACTGCAGCCTCCACCATCACCGCCCAGTCCGCTTCCATTGCCCCCTGCATCCTCACACGCCGCCGTCATCTGCCGTCGACCACCTGCATATCCACGGTCCTCCAGTTGCCCGAGTTGTCGACCCCGACGTTGTCGCAAATGTTGTTTTCCACTTTGGTGGTCGAAGTGATGGGGGCGGTCTGAAAGCACCTCCAGAGCCGGTGCAGCAGTGGCGGTGAGCAGCCGTTCAGCTCCCCACCATGCCATCATCAATGTAATACGGCGCGGCGGCGGCGGAACAGCTGCCGCCGCTGCTGTCCCAAGTTGCGACCGGGTAACCACTGCCGGCCGAGACGGCGGCGGCGGCGGCGGATGCTGACGCTGTCTTGTAGGGTCGGGGAAGGGCGGGAGAGGAGACCTAGACGCTGCGTCGTCCCGCTGCGGCAATGGCGGCGGCGGCGCCAGTGGGCACTGTACCCTCGGCGGCGACGAGGACGGCCGCAGCGGCGGCAGTTTTGGTTTCGGAGGGAAGGGCTGCGGTACGACGCCGTGTAGGAGGTTCCCCGGGAAGAGAAGCAACCGATTTTGGCGGGGCCCTATGGCCCAGGCCCGCAGCGCGACGGGGGACGGTGACGGCGACGTCGATGGCGCGGGGTGGTCAGTGGCTGCGGTGGGGTCCTTGTCAGCGGAAGTTGGTGTTGGTGTTGGTGTTGCCGGGGGTGGTGCTCGCGTGTTGCGAGGAGTTGCCCTCCCCCACCGAGCGCACGTGCCCCTGTGCCTGGTGGCGGGTGCCGGGCGAAAGGGTTTTGAGGTGAGGGGACATGCCGCAAGGGGGGGGAGGGGGGGTGAAGGTCAACAACAGTCCAGCTCCTTATGGGGGCGATGGTGGTGGGGCTCATGGGTGTGGGCTACTAGGCAGTTTGGAACCTGGAGAGCACGGGACGAAGAAAGCACGAATTCAGAGAGGACTCGTGGCATTTAAGTCTCACCTGACTGACTAACTGACCAATTATTCGCATCTACCAGCTACGGCAGCATTCTTGGCCCCAGGCTTTGGCACTCTTCATAATGTCAGCCAGCCCCTTACTTCGTGTTTTCAACCAGTATTAAGATGACACACTTTTGCCTCCACATGCATACGGCAGCACCGCATCCGAGTACAAACCACAAATCCGCATTATAATCAACCACTCGCGAGCTGAGGGAACACGCAGTCATGCGTCCAGATCAGATCGGTTGAGGCCGCGCGTTGAAGCCGCGCGTTGAGGCCGCGCGTTGAGGCCGCGCTCATTTGCTGTTGCACATTCCAACACCAGTCCCAGCCGAAAAGCCCATGACCTCCCCCATGAATAATCCCCTCCTGGTG